AGAGAGATAGATGGAAATGGGGAGAACCGGGCGGGCGCATGCTGACATGATGGAAGGAATTTGCGCGAGAGTTAGATATGCATATAAGAAATACATATCGTCGGGTTCGTTGATAATCGAGATTCGACGCGACCCGATGGCCAATGTTATCCAAGGTTCGATGCGACCTGATGGCCAATGTTTGTTGTCGGGCCGCATCGAACCTTGTTTATCAGCAGACCGGGCGAAGTAGAAGTTCGCCAACATCCGTATTTTTTTCTCTGTCTCTCTCTCCGACACACCGACGATCCCGGTAGATCTAGAGAGATATGGGGACATGTTCGCGATCTGCGACAGCGCAGGGAAATGTTGGTCGTTGCTGTGTGAAGATCCGGTGTTCTCCGCGTCCTGTTGCACAAACAGAACAACACAAACGATAAACATTTGTTGACAGGCGACGAATGGTTGGGTAGACGAATGATTGTGTTGGATCGGTCGTCCATGTGATGCCTAACGCAAGCTTTGATTGCTGACACGAGCATTTTATTCATTGCTTGATTGATTCTGATCATTCTAGTGCTTGTTTATTTGCCAGACCCCTTGATCGATTAAACGCTTGTTTGCTACTTTCGAATGTCGTGTGGTCTTAAAGAGTCGAAATCTAACAAACACACACACACGAACACTAAACGAGCACGAACGACTCGTCGATCGCTGGATTATGATCGTTCTGTCTTAATCAACTGTTCATCTTTTTATGGACCATATCGACTAATCGGAGATTCACTTGCATAATACTCATGTGCAAATACCCGCTTTCGCACGCAAACGTGCAACTGTGTAACCGTGCACACACACGCACACACACTTTCCATGGAAGGGTGGCTCGTCCAAGCAAATGGTTGCATGGAATGTTTGATTTGATCATGCATTGCTCGAATGGTTGATTTCATCATTGATTCCCTGGTGACAATGGGACTCATTGGAGGAACCTCCCGGGTTCAACACTTTCTCCACACACACGCATTGACACATCTACATATGACAGTACACCTGAAAGCTAGGGCAATACAGGAAACAATGCAGGGAACAGAGAAATGCACGAAACAAATAAAACGCATGCAAATAACGCAAGTCGCCGCAAACAGACACCCGTCCAAACGCAGGCGTGCACAGCAGGGCACGAGTAAACGCAGATGCTCGCTCGAACGTGCAGTCACACGTACGCACATGCATGGCATCACTCTCACACATGGCATCACTCTCACACATCCGCGGGGAAAAGGAACGTCGCGTTCCATCAGTCACCCTTTTGACAGGTACTCACCCCAGTGAAGATGTCATGTGGAGAATAGATCCTTCGCACCTAAACTAATGCCGAGGAGATCGCAATGGAAGCGGCGCGACTTGCGTGGTGTGGCGGCAGATGGTTTGCGTTGAACGAGCAGCGCGCATGCCAAACAAGCCCGTCAGCAAGTCACTGATTGACACGAAAGACAACGTGACGCGGAATGTGCTTTGCGATGCAAGTGTGTGCAGGTTCTCTGTTCAGAGAGCAAAGGATGCGGCGCAACGCTGAAGATCGCGATGTCGCCAGTCGCTGTGAGTGTTGCTTGCGGTCGCCAGCGGTTATCGAGTTCTGTGCAGGTTGGATGACGTGGCGCAGCGCCGGAGATTGCGATGGCGTCAATCACCGCGGTTCACGGGCGATGGTGTTGACGAGAGAGAGAGTTCAAGTGGTTAGTCTGACAGCATCTCCCCATGACATGCGATAGTGCGAAATGAGCATTGGGGGGGCGGGATTCGTTTCATAGGCTCGCACGCCTTGGACATGCAACGAGCTTTCCGCGCGGATCGGAAGGCCTTTTTCGAATCGAAATTGCAGGCCCGGGTAGGGGGGCGGGAACTTTGGACCCATTGGACCGAGAGGAAAAAGCGTGGGAGTCCAGGAACCGTTCGATTTGCCCAATTGACGACCACGGTCCGTCGATGCAAAGGGCCTGCATACGACATGGCGCGTGTGAGGGCCGTTGCTGACAATCGTTTCCGGGCCTTTCCGGACGCTGCCGAGCGACTAGGGGGTGGCAGGGGAGGGGGGGGGGGGGGGGGGGGGGGGGGGCTTTTCGCTGACGGCCAGGAGGACCATTCTCCCAGACGGCAAACGAAATGCACGGCCAGCCCTGGCCGAGCCGTAAGACATGTGCATCGCACGACCGTTTCTCGCTAGGGAACAGGGCTTGCGGGGTGAACGTGACACCGGTGAGCGGGGTGGGAGGCTACCGGGAGGATGAACGTCACACTGGAGAGCAACCCAGAGGCAGCCGCGCGAAGGCTTCCATGCAAGCGGCCCTCCCAGTTCACCCTCCCCTTCCCCGAAATCCATCATGCTCAACGACAGCTCCGCTGCGCTGCGCCATCGTCGTCGTGCGCCCCGAGCTGCACCATCGCCGTCGTTCGCCCTTTGCTGCACCATCGTCGCCGTTCGCCCCGATCTGCGCTACGCCGTCGTCGTCCTCGGTGATCGACCTCCCAGGTACGTCGGAGTTGCGCTCGAAAACACCACGGCGTCAGGAGGCCGTCCCGCTTCTTGCGAATTTCGCGCGAGACTTTTGCGCGTTATGATAGTCTCGAAATGCTACGGGTAGTCGCCAGTCTGCATGTCGTGTTCCCCTGTCCATCCACTCCTCTCTCAATTTTTTCGCCGCCCCCAGCATTTGTTCTTCAGTAATGTCCTTGTCCGCCGCACAGTTAAGCTCCTTGTCTGTGGTGTGGAGAGTTGATCGCGCAGGCAACCGTGCGTGACGTGCAGCTGTGTTGCGTCGAGTGAAACAGATCACGTGTCCCAGAAGAAAAAAAAAATCCACTACTGCGCGCCACGCGCCGACAACCTGAGACATCGACGCCCACCGCGCAGACTTCTTTCACGAGCAAAGCTGGTAGCGATGGGAGGCTAGCAGTGCATGTTGTTGACCAGTCCCATGGTGGCATGATCGGGCGAGCACGAGCAACGGTGTTTTCGTTATAAGTGAAATTGTTTTCATGTTCACTTTTTTTCTTAACTGTAAAATGACAGAACAAAATGAGGAAATTATAGACAAAATAACGACAAAGCAAAATAACGACAAAGCAAAATAACAACAAATCGAATTAACGACAAAGCAAAATAAGGACGAAACAATGTTCATAGCAATGCAAAGTTGAAGGAACGACAAAACAATGAGAAAAAATTAATGTGACAGTCATGCTCCCGTGTTGCCTGTGCTCAAAATATAATACAATGTCAAGTTTTTACCTCGAATGTTTACGCTCAATAAACATGTCAATCTCATCAACAAAATATTAACTATGGACTGTAGCTTTAGTCGCACCTCATTGACTTTCCTATCTAATCATGGACAAAATGTCAAATGTTATTCTAAGCCTCATATCAGAAATATTGGCTTGTGAGAAAGCAAATGGAGGGAAGTGACATCTTGCAAGCAAAAATGCAAAACCTAACATAAAAACACCACAACTACAAGCATCCTCTTGAGCAGGAATCCCATCTACTGATGTATCAAAGGAGGATGTAGGCCCGTCCACATGATATCTTTCTCGAAGATTGTGTCGATGAAACTCCGCTTCGAAAAAATCTTCCAAACGTTCAAGGACTGAAACATAGTCAGCACGAGGGAGAGAGTCTATGAGGTGGAATTTACAGTTCGGACCGTCTATGCTGTCATAAGCTAACGCCCAGTGATTTCCAAAATGAAGAGGGATAATCACTAAGTCATAATCAAAAAGATTTGTGTCCTTCACCCATTTCATCCCTTCGGAATATGCGGTTTGAAACCTCAAAGGACCTGACAATCGAGTGAAGAAAAAAGAATTGAAAATGTACACAAAAGGAACTCTATCTCTTGTTACTTCTGTACATGCCGAATCAACCTTGATGTGATCATTGGTGATCTGGACGGCTAGCAGGTACAAATTGACGACTTCGTCATTTAGCCATTTCCCATCCTCGATGACGACCATGATGTCTTCCTTTCCCACCTTCCAGCTCCCCTTGCAATCGACAATGTCGTATGCTTCATTGTCTTCGCTGCTGCCTGTAATCATGTTTAGATACTCCTTTTCTTCTACGGTGAGGCGTTTTGTTGCTAAAGGAATCTGGAATGAAGGGTCGTGAACTGCATACAAACACACATATAAACAACAATGGAACGACTAAGACTTCATACAAAAACGAACTTTTCGTTTTATGATGTACGACGTAGACCCGAGTTCATGTTTTTGGTTGTCTATCTGTTTCGCTATCAGAGCTGCCATCCACAATAGATAAACTGCAACCTTCGCGATGCAATTTCTTCCCTTCACTGAGGCTAATTCCAACAACTTTAAACATCCTTAGGGCAGCTGGCTTCATAGATGGAAATGTCATGGGTGTAAGTCTTCTTCTCTCTTTTTTGGGCAATAATGGCAAAGTCGATAAGGCTCGCAAGCCATGACAAATAATATTCTTCTCACTCTGCCTTTGCGAACGTACGTGCGTCGTTTTCCACAGTTCTTTTCGTCGCCCTGCATGTTCAACAATATAAAACGACAATGATTGATAAGACAAAACATTATGAGTTTAAGTTCAATTTTGCACATAATTGCAAATAAGAGATACACAATATTCCACTTCATTTCTTCTCATGACCGAGTGCACGGTTGCAAACCTAGGCAAAAACTTAGTTCCTATGAGATGAGTGCAAGTACCCCCTAATCCGCATACAATATTAGATATTCCTTTAGAGATAAGTACGTGCTCACCTCGGTGGCTCACTAACACTTTGTCTTCAACACGACCTTCTGTCGCACCATGCGATGGTGTAAAAGGAGATTCGTCGATAGATATCACGAGGTTAGCAGACTGTTGTGCTTCTGATTTTGCAACCATAAGTTCAGGTTGTACAAGCGTATGTTGCTCCCGTGTACTTAGTACTATATGTCCTTCATCCTCTTCGATGGCCTGTACATTGGCAGTTTCGTTTGCACCTGCAGTCGCGCTTTCATTCTTCATGTCCAGAGAGACATCATGCTCATCTTTCTCATGTATCCAATGGCATCTCTAATTCTACAAGTGCACCAGTATTATCCACTTGCGCAGTAACACTCTCGCTCGCCAACACAGTGGTCGCCCAAACTTGGTCATCCGGAAGGACGTCCTCGACACATTTCGGCAGTTCTCCATGAYTTACGCCCTTGACGCTTGCACCGCCGCTTCCTCCCAAATCCTGGCCACTTGCATCGCCTCTCGATCCCCTGCCATGTGCACTGCCGCTTGGTCCTAATCCCAGAGGCGAACCCGATCCCCTGCAATGTGCACCGCTGCTTGGTCCTAATCCCAGAGGCGAACCCGATCCCTTGTCATGTGCACCGCCGCTTGGTCCTGATACCTTTCCCTCTGTTGCTTGACGTCCTTGACACATTTCGTGATTTTGCAGTTCACCATGACTTATTGGCTTTCCACTTGCACTGACGCTCGGTCCCAGGCCCTTGCCACTGACACTGCCCCGTGGTTCCGATCCCTTGCCATGTTTACCACCACTTGATCTTGTTCCCTTGCCAAGCGCACCGCCGCCTGATCCTGATCCGTTGCCACTCTCATCGCCGCTCGCTCCTTTCCTTTTCCCAACTTTGTCTTCAAGTTCCTCTTCGATACGCCAATTATATCCAAAAGTTGGACTTGTTTCTGGATCATAGAACTCTTCCAAATACTCAAGTCATCGAGATGTTTTGAACTCCTGAAAGATTTCGTCTGTCCTTGCATCCAGTCTTGATTGAGAAACCTTCGGATTAAGTCGCAGTAGTCGCTTGCCAATCTCATTTTTGGCGTGTGTGACAAACTTGGATCGTGACATACGTCTGTGGAAGCAAAATTGTCACTCCCCTTCTTCTTTTATAGCCCTTACCCAGTTCCCTCTTGCCAATGCAGGTTGGAAGTGGTAGGGGTGCCATATAATGTGATGACCCCATACGTTGTCAGGCATCACCGTATAATTGTCTCGGCACACAACAGGTCCAGGAAGTCGTGCAATATCCGGAGGGATGATGTCTTCAATCTCGTACTCCAAAGGCTCAGACGGAGGTGGTTGAGTAGTTTGAGAGCGTAGCAATTCCAAAACAGTAGCCGGGCTATATGCAAGTGCTGACAGACTTGCCATAACCTCTAGGGAGAGAATTGCCTGCACCCTCGGATAATCCCGAACTGCGCTGGAAGATACCGCTGTTGTGTTGCCCGCCATGTAACTGGTCCGTTGAAACTGGTCCGTTGTAACTGCCATACTCGAAGCCCTCCCAGAACCGGACGATGTGTCCGGCGCACCCATCTTCTGCGAAGCCGAGCTACAAGCTTTTTGCCTCTCATCTGCCAAAGTCGCTTGTAAAGTACCATCTTCACTTTCTTCCTCTGAGTCCTCAACATCGAAGCCTTCCCCAAAACAAGTTGCATAAGCTGCGATTGTAAACGCCCCGATTTGTTCCTCGAAGTACCTCATCTCCAAACGGTCTAGAAATGCAACTTCCGTCTCCGCCGGTGCCTTATGATACCCCCTCAGAAGTGATTTCATTTTTCGCCTTCTGACGATATATGCACGTTCCCCTTTGTTTTGTGGCTTAGTCTCGAAAAGGAACTCCCAAATGTTGACGATGTTTTGGCCAACTTTGTAGACGAGATTACGCTTTTCATCATGTCGAGGAGGCGACTTAACAAAGTTGGCGAAGTAAAGTCCACTCTTAACCATCTTGGTGACGAATTGAACGAGAAACTCCAACTTCATACCCTCCCCTTCCAGAACAATGCAATGACGGTGACTCTTTAACAACTCCCAAATCAACGCCGCATGACCTTTTCCCAGGAAAACAACCGCCTCATCCGCAGGACAAAAATGCTCCAATGTCTCCACCATCGCATTTGGCTCCCTTTTCATACCTTCGTACGCAAATTTCTCCTTTGGCTCCATTCCTGCCATTTTCAACTTCATGCGCGTGAAGTTCTTCTCCACGACATCAGCCAACATCTTTGGCCTTCTCTCTCTGCGCACAAGTGCTGATAAGTCACCCGCCTGCTCACCAGATGATCGATCTGCAGCTGGAGTGCTTGCTGGAATGTCTTCAAGCAAGGGAATAGTGTTGCAGTGATAATCCCCATCGTTGGAGTACATGATGACAACCATTCTGTCTATGTCCTCCAAAGGCAAGTTCGCAACCTTATATAAATGCTTCGCCTTCGTTTGTTGCTGACGAGTCCACTTTAGAATAGACAAGTGAATGTCAATCTCCCAACTTGTAACTCACTTGAAAAATGTATACTCGCAAGACCGCGGAACGAAGCACAATAATGTCCAATAATCACCAGTCAGTTTTCCCATGAACTTCCGCAGACCATCAAAGAATTCTGCAGTCCACACCCCTATCTGGGTTGGGTGACACAAATCTAGCACCGCCGTATGGCAACTCAGATGTTTGACGACTCTGTATATTTCTTTGGAATCCATCTCGTCTGAAATATCGCTTGGTTCCCATTGGTTGTGTGTCCAAAATTGGATTTAATGCTGCTTTCGCGTTGAAAAATTCAACGCGCGTTGAATTCGTGTTAAACTCCCGTTCAAACGCGAGTTGGAAGGGAATTAACGGCGTCCGGGATGATTTTTTTTGTGGGCTAAAAATTATCCAAAACAATATTTAAAAAATGGGGTTTTAGTTTTTCATGAGGATTACAACCCTGTATTTTTATTTTTATTTTTTGATGCTTAAATCTATTTTTAAAAAATCAAAAACATAAACACACAATGATAAAACAAAAACACTCAAAACAAAAACGAAAATGAAATGAGTGTTTTTGTTTTGGGTTTCACACAATTTTTTTAAGGGCTAAAACGAAAACAAAAAAATAAATAAAAAATATAAGGTTGTAGATCTTTCAAAGATGTACAATAATTTATTTTTTATTTTATTTTTTAGAACTTCGTGTATTTTTTAAAACAAAACCATAAAAAGCAAATTGAAAAAAGGAAAAAAAGACACACAGACACACAAAATTGGGCCTGTAGCAGGTTGCATGAGTCTAGTGTCAGTTGGTTGAGGGAACCCAGGTCCTGGGCGGCCTGTGTGAATGGATGGAAAGCAGGCCCTGGGCTGGATACGGGTACTGGGCCAAACACAGGCCAAACGCAGTTGGGGGCATGCAACCACCTCAGGCCCAAGGCCTGTTCTCGTTCGTGCTGTGCCTCAGTCTACCGGGGCCTACTGAAAGCGTCCTGGGACTGAACACAGGCAGGCCACTTCGATATAGCAAAGGGCCTGCCTCCACATTGGGCATTCGGGTGCTGGCTGCATGCTGCGTAAGCGCTGCCGCGCTGTAGCTCGTGCCACTCACACGCTCACGGGCGAGCAGGAAGGAGCAGGCAGCCATAGCGGAGCTGCGCTGCTGTAAGCTGGGTGTGGCGCAGGGTGGTCCTTGGGTGCGAGTGGAATCTGTGTATTGGGGAACGAGGTTGTGAGTAAGGCGAGACACACTTTCACGCGCAGGCATAAACACACTTTCACTTACACACACACACACTTACAAACACACACATACACACACAAACTTACAAACACACATACACAAATACACACATATATATACACACACACACTTACAAACACACACATACACTTACAAACACAGACACACAGACACACACTTACAAACACACACATACACAAACACGCGCGCATACATTCATATTCATGCACAGACACACTCTCACAGCAGGCACACACATACACAGATACGCGCACACACAGCATGCCTATACACATAACTGGGGCGTTGGGGGTTGGGGGATGTGGGGGCGGATGGGAGGTGCTTCCGGGGTTGGGGGGATTTTTTTTTTTTTTTTTGCCTAGTACGACGTGTTCCGGACCCCGCTCATCAATTTCGTTTTTCCGAAAAGCGCGGGAGCGGCCCATTTTCGCGTTTAATGGAAATTCAACGGGATTTTTTGGAGTTTAACGGGATTCAACGGGAGTTTAATTCCCCCGTTCTGCGTTAAAAAGATACACAACCCATTGCAATGGGACGAAAACAGAGTTCACGTTCTGTTTTTTGAAATGTATATATTGCGCCTAACCCGACATTGTTATGCTTTGCGAACCCCTGGTTTCTGATCTGCGCAGCAGCTTGTTGACAAACTGCACTAACTCTTCTGGGCACTTCGCATCAAGTGATGCTGTTTTCTTGAAGCCCTCTTCTCCTTTTTCCTCCTCTCCTCCAACTCATGTCTTTGAAATGGCGACGCTGGTCGATCCACCTCTCGGACGTCAATCCTTCATGTGTTCAACAAGATACCCTCATAAATTGTGTAGGAAACCTGATTTTCAACAGGTGAATGTAGTACAAATCATACTAAAATTCTGCATGTTCCGAAGCTACATTTTTTATGTTGGGTGTGAGGGAGGACGAGCGTGACGGGTGGTGGTGGGGTCACCTTTTTGGTATCGGCGTCAATTTCTTCGGCTAGATTTTTTTTCGTCAACCTTGTATCGGCATCGGCTTCTTCGAAAAATTCGGTTTTAGCATCAGCTTTTCCAACGACATTTCAACATTGATTTTTTTACGGCATCCCCGGTACTTTTTCGGTTGGGGGCCTTGTTTCCGTGCGGGAAGGGGGTTGCTGGGTTGTTTGGGTGTGAGGGAGTTGGGGTGTTGGGATCTCTTGGTTTTGCAGGTCCGCGTCGGCGCGCTTGCGACTTCGGCCTCACTCGCGTCTTCCAAGAATCCAGGTCAGACTCTTGCTGGGGGGGTGTTACGTATTTTTTTGTGTTTATTTCAAAAAAAAATCCGCAAATTAAGAGGGTAAAACAGTTTTTTTGTGGGGTTTGAATGAGGGTGAAAAGTAATCAAAGGGGGGGAAGAAGAACCGTCCGAGACAATTGTGTGAGTGGGTCCGCACGCGGGGGAGAGAGAGTGGACACGAGGGAGAGAGAGGAAAGGGGGGTTCAAAAGGGTCCTCGGGCTCCGTTGGTTTAGGATCCAAGAAGGCTGGTCCGGAGAGAGAGGGGTTTGCCTAATATCCTCGACCCGCACGGGTTGTGGTTGTCACCCGCGCGGGACGAAACTCCCGCGAGGGAACGGGTTTCTCGAGAGGGGGATGGGTGTTCTGTTCTCGACCCTCGCGGGTTGTGGACGGGACCCGCGCGAGACGCGACTCCCGCGAGGGGGCGGAGTTCTCGAGCGGGTGCAGTCCGGGACTTGGGGGCGAGAAGGGTAGTACTTCGGCTTCCGGAGGAAAGGGTCGAGGGAACTCTGATCGTCGTTGAGGACGAGAGGGGTAGGGGGTACTTTGGGAAGAGGAGAGGAGAGAGACGTGGGGTGCCTTGGACGAGGAATCGGAGGCCGAGTCTTTGGTGAACCGGTGTCTTGCCAATTTCTCGAATTCGGATCTCGGGGACTATTGGGACTACGAAAACGAATTCTGAAAAGGTCGAGGACCACAAGGTACATATTTAAAGCAGCCTAACCTGAGAGACTCTCTTGCTAAAGTTCCACTTCCCCACCCCTTATTTTTTCTGTGGGACCCCGATTAAATTCTCCAATTCCGAGCGAGAAAAGAGTCAGACGGGGGCGAATGGGAAAAAGAGTACAAAGTGAGAAGAGTTCGGGATGCAAGGAGGAGAATAGGGGGGAGTAGATATGCTAGTGATCATTGATTGATAGGCGGATAAAGTCCCGGGACCCGGGGAATTCCACGCTCGAGGTGGGCCGAGTAGGGGCGTGGTTCCGGATAGGCTAACTTAGGACTAGGGGTCGGTTTGGTGGAGGACATAGGGCACGGGTGTGTGACTTCGGTCCAACTCTGGGGAGGGGGTTGCCACCCCTCTTCGGGGATAACCTGAGTTCGCAGCTAGTCTGTATACATGGAAGTGGGGAGACCTTTCAACGGGGGAGGACAGGAAGGTAGCCGATTGAGACGGCGTTCCTTCTCTGGTCCATTTGATCCTACTGAGCTCACAGACACCTTCTCCTTGCAGGGTAGGGCTGGTCTCTCGAGTAACCAAAATTAAGAGTAACAAAAGACCTTCTTTGATTAGAATGAATGAGCTTGGAGGCGGTCCCGGAAGGGATTAGTGTGAGTAGTTACGATGTAATCGACGTGTGGTGCTATACTTTTCGTCTATGGACGGGAGACTTTGGCGTTGCGATTTACGTGGAAGAAGGGAAGGATCGAGGAGATAATTTCCTCCTCGGATGGGAAGAGGCGGTGGGACGCTCTCGCACGGAAAGGGAAGAGATAAGGGCGTATGGGTTTAGATACTTCTACACTTTGGGGTAGCGGACGTACCCTAGGGGGGGCGACCTGCGCCGGTGATTTCATATGCGTACCTCGATGGGTCGGACGAGTGGAGAGTGTTTGTCCCACCCCTCCTGTCTGCTACCCCTCATCAGTTTTTCACCTTCGCCCTGTCTCTTGGTCATAACCTTGACAACACCATCTCTCATCCAAAAGTCAATTAGCCACTCAAGGGCCCGAATGATCGACAAGTGTGGGATATTGCAAAACATCTCCTTCACGTCATAAGAAGCTGTCAGCAATTCCTCATCCCTACTCACATCATCGTTGATTGCTGACACATACTGTGACAGAAGATCTGTACTTTTCATGTTAAAATGTGATCTCTTCGGTAGCTGCCACACCATCTCATTAACCTCTGACGCCACTTTCTTTGAACCACGCACATTACATTCAGAAAAGAACGGGCAAATGGGCCGCCATTTGTTAATGTCCTTATGCTTAGGGATAATATACGCTCGTCCCAGTTTCCCTTTCTTGTTCCATTTTGCAAACTCATTCAACCCTTGTTTCTTGTACTCCGTTTCCAACCTGCAGATTAGTTGGCCCTCATCCTCGACCACAGCCTCAAATCCCACATTATCAAAAAACAATTTGTCGAGACCATTTTGATAGAAAGTCGGGCAACACACCAAAGTGTCACCTGGGTTATGGTCAATCGGGACACAGACCATGCCAGTTATTTTTTCTCTCCACTCAAGTACATCCTCCAGCCGAATATGCACCCCCAACTTCTCGCAGCTGTGGTCAAGACTGAAACAATTCGTCAAAACGGTCAAATCTATCGACCGGGGCGGTTGCACATGTAATCCTATATCAGAGAAGTTTTTTTCGATCTCCTGTCTCAATCTTACCGTCATGTTCCGAGTTGCAGGGACCGCCATGTTGCGGTTATTCCTCAACCATGGTGGAGCCAACTCATTTGTACCAAGGGAATAGTAAAAATGATCATCAGTCCTGGCCCCAAATCCTTCATGTTGTGCACAAGTATAGGTCAATTCCCCTTTTTGTCCAAACTTACGAAAATTAAAGAGAATATCCCCAATACTTTGATTCTTAACCCAAACAACCCGCGCTCATCTGATTAGCAGCTCCTTCCAATCCCTATTAAGCTCGAAACCCCTGATCATCCCTTTACATAATTGTCGTATGCCAGGCTTACTCAAACGGTGATCGTACGTGATTCGTACAATCAACCTCCACCTAATGTTGACATGAAAACCCCTCCTTAAAACTCCAGACAAAATCAACCGTAGAGAGCTACGAGTTTGCTTCTCCGAAAAGGCACGAATCGCCAAAAAACACCGTACCAACAAACCAAAATCCCATGCATAAAGGTCCTTCCTAGTGCACGGTTTTGCCAAGAGTTGTGCTAATGCGGGTTTAAGATAACTCAACTTGGAACAAAACGGCACGATACAGTCCAAGACGATAGACGACCCCACACATAGCATATCGCGACTCTTCTTCAAAATCATTTTCTTCCGATTAATATTCACGACAGACGACCCAAATTTATGTTTCAACAGTTTTTAATTATCAGTCAGTCGTCTTCCCCTTGAACAGTGGACACCAAACTTAGTAACCCCTCGGCTAAGGCAATCCTCCAGAATTTGATTAGAGATACGAAGCAGTTACTGTCAGAGTCGTACAAGGACAAGTGTGTGTCTATTGTAGTGTTGGTCAGACTCTTCCCCTTTTTCAACTTCCTCACACATGATTGTGACACATCTTTCTCTCTTACCTCTCCTCCGACACTTACCTTTCTGCCTCGTATCCCTGGTATTAAGACGTGGATTAATAAGACGAATCAAATTCCTCTCAACCATTAGCAAGTCCGGTGGTAAACATCGACAAACAAGAATCATTACGAATCGTGCAACGACAATCCTACGAAGCCATGCATACAGCCGATGATTTCGTTTCCCATTTTCAATAACAACCCCGTCCAGACATCGATACAGGTGCTCGTTCCACCGTACCGCCAAAGATCGTCCAGTCGAACCCACATACACATGTTTGGACCATGGCGAAACCAAAGCGTAGACCCACGGTCCCTCACAGTAGTTCAATTCCACATCATTCTCCCAAATTGCCTCTACGTACTTTCGCAACTTCAGGGCCCACGGAATGCACCCTAATAAAATCATCCTCATAACAACACTTCTAAAAAAGTCATTAAACTCCTTGTCACGAAGGAAGAAATCCACGAACTTACCAACCTTCATCCCACGATGGTAATCTTCATTCTTACCTACTTGTGCACCCTGTGTTCTATCCTCACGAAGCTGCCTGCAATAAGACGCCCACTTTCATAGGTAATCGCGTTCGGGAACCCGTTCTAGAGTTCCGCGGATCGTCCATCTTCCCACACGGAAGCAGCATCATGCACCGGGGAATCTTCCGAAACCTCGTGCACTGATTCAATATTGTCGCTCTCCTTGCTTCCATTACCATCTTTACCCATGGCCTTATCAACCCTGTATTTAGTGATGTCTGCTATCATCAAGTCAATCGCCCGAAGTTTCAAACTAGCCTCCCGGCACTACATCTCCAATCCAGATTTTTTGTAGTTCCTCAAGTCTTTCTTTTGTGCTTCAATAAAATGAAAATGTTCGTTAGCAGCTCCAAATGATTCCGCACACACCCCCATGTCTCGTCGAGGAGTGGCTTTCAAGCCTTTCCTAGTATAGCGGTTAGCGACAGCCTCGAGCCTCGTTTTTAGATTCGTACCCCCTCTCTCACGTTGTGTGTCAAATTCCTCAACAGGTACTTTATTGAGCTGCTCCTTCAGCTTAATCGCCTCTCCTTCGGCAACAGCCCGCTTCCCTTTAAGCACCCTGGCCTCCCGACTTGCCGCACGGTGCATCTCTTTCATCTTGACATACTCCTGTTTCCATTTGTCTGATTCTCTGATGTTGTCCGTCCAACGTGGCCGCGGAGATCCACGTGGCAGTCCATCGGGAGTGTCGATTACGACGCTGCCTCTCGTGTTACCTGGTCGCAAAGCTTCCCCCTTCCACGCCTCGACTTCCTCCCTATCTTTCATCCCCTGTATCTTCAACCTGCTAACTTCAGTACGTAAGCCATCAAGCTTCGATTCAAAGTTACCTTTGGCCAAAGCGGAAGATCTCAACTGCTCGATCTCTTGTTTCATAGAGAAGATGTCATCTTCTGCGACCTTCTTCACCATCGCCTGCTGCTTAAGCTCCATGATTTCCTTCTGAAGCGTAGCAACCTTACTACCCTCGTTAACCACATCCTCCTTTAATAGTAATATCCTCAAACGGTCATTCTCCTTACGTATCTTCTCCATTTCTTCCGATACAGTGACCTCATCTCCCGTCTTCTTCAGTGCACCGTTCTTCTCCTCCATACGCTTATCCAATCGAGCACTCATTTCTGCCTCAAGGCGCTCCCGTTCCTTCCTCCACTCTTCTTTTCTATCCTCTTCCTCTTTAGTTCTCCTAGTCTTCTCTTCTTCTTCCTTCTGTTTGGCTTCTCTCTCCTCATCAGCCAAAGTCTTCGTAAAGCAGCGATGCAATTTCTCTTGGTTAGTCCTCCAAAAATTCGGTTGTGCGTACGAAGAGAACCCACTTCCGTATCCAGACGAATAACTCGAGGGGGCAAACCCGACGTTCGGCGCTTGACCAGAAGAACCAGAAGCAGGATAAGTAACCGAAGCGGGGTGGCGTTAGCACCGGTGGCATGGCGTCTGCCATAACCTCGGTGCGGGCACTCACGCTGAAAATGGTTAGGAGATCCACAACTATAGCAAGATCTAGGAGGAAATTGTCCTGCCATGACAGCCGCACAATAAAGTAGGTCAGTCACTCCAAAGTCAACGGGCCACACTCTTGTAGTGCAATCTCTATAGAGGTTACCTACGTAGAATAAATGGTGATGAGAACATCAATCCAAATAAGGTCGATGGGGCAACATATATCAAAGAGCATTCATAGCAGACACAATGAAAAAACCCACAGAAGGAGGAGAAAGGGAAAGAGAAGGTGGAAGTGAGTAGTAAACAGTATACAATTCTCCCGAACGCGATGGCGTCAAATGATATCCGAAAAGCACAGCCGAATCCGCTCGAACCATAAATAGGCATCAATGACATGCCCGTAGTCGTTAAGCTCCTGTCCGAGTACCTGGCAGTCGACCCTACATGTTTCATCCGGCCGCCAGAGCCTGAATCGTCAGGGGTCTATTGTCACGGCGGAGATAAAAAGTGGGGGTAACTTCGGCGCAGTCACCAAAACAGTTCGTAATTGCATTCGAAACTGCGTTTTAGCAGTTTAGTCAGGGCCCGAGTTTCAATTGCAGTTGAAACTCGGGCTGCCTTTCCATAGCAGTTCAGTCAGGGCCCTCGTCTATCCACGAACAGCAGATAAAAAATAAAAAATAAAAACATCCCTTATGCTGTGATTGCGGTCCGATACAGGATGCTACAGTACTTGTCTGGAACTCAACGAAGAGTGGAATCCGCCCTGCCTGGCTGGCAGGGCGCTACAGGGACCTCGCAACAAGAAACAAAAAAGGAAAACAACCTGTTTCATGTTCCTCACTTCCTGGCCAGATACATTCGTCAAAGCAGTGGTGACCTGAGGGCCTTCCGGACATAGGTGGATTCGAAATTCCTCGTTTCTTTACTTTTTTATTTCTTCTTTTCTTTTTCCTTTTCTTGGCCTCCATCCCTGCCCCGAGGCCCCCACTTTTCGGAGTAGGCTACTCTTGAGACTTCGCGGTTGCCTGTGAAGGGAAGTGCCTGCGAATCTCTGTTGTGGCCGAGACATCTCGGCCCTGGCCAATCTGGGGTGTGGCCAAGACATCTCGGCCGTGGCCAGTCTGGGGTGTGGCCGAGA